GGCTTTAGAATATTGATACAGTATCGGGAAATGAAATATCGCGATATTTCAGTGTATCGATATTTTCTTACCACCCCTATTGTTTACGGTGAAGAGCAAAAATAAAGTGAATTTGTATTTTTGCAACACAACTGAACCTTTCATTATTTAACAGTCGAATCATGATTAATGGATTCAGACACTTCTGTATGGATTTAGAGAACTGGTCACATGTTTCTCTTTTCCACGGGGTAACGTAATATAAGAAGCTAAAACCGCCCCATTCAGGTGTGTTTTGTTACATTTTGAGGCTGCAGATCCTGCGGTCAGATCAAACCCACCGGGGAAAAGAAGAAATTAAGAGGCCTGAAATCAGATTAGCTCGTTACGTTAACGACTGAACCGATCCAGATACTGACACACTTGTACCTCCCGTCTGTGCCCGCCTTCCTCTCAGGACCCCGCGAACAAACTTACAGCTGCCAAAACAGGCGTGGAGGATAAAAGCTACAGCATCTCAACTGGAAATATTGATTACACCGCAGTTTTGGTGCAGTCATCTTCTAAAGTGGGGACTGTGGGGGTCGATTTTAAACCCCTGAACCGTCCCTGGACAAACAGAGCGTTTGAAAGCGTCGGATGAGTCTGCATCAAGTGAAGATGAGTTTACAGCTTGAAGCGAAGCGGTGACCTCTGCAGGGAGACGCCTCGCTCCGAAACACTGAGGAGGTGAAATCTGAGTTCTGCTCGGGTCGCCGTTTCCTTAATGTCAGCAGCACCGAGACAAACACACAGGGAGAGAATAAAAGCTGCCGCCGGCTGCGCCTCAAACCTCTGTCTCTCATCAGACACGTCGTGCAGCAATCAGGACCCKGTTAGTCACCGAGAGTTCCACCTCATCTCCATAAAACTGGTTTTRRAAACACAAATCACTCAACGGGACRCTGAGACYGCTGGAGCACAAACTGAGCACATTTCCTCACTCTGCTGTTGTCTTTAGTTTCTCTTCTCTACATGTTTAATGTAATTATTTCTATCAATAACATGTTTTTTTCTTTGTCTCTTTACCAGAAGAAGGTGCACCTGGACCAGTCCTGGACCAGTTCTTCTGTGTTTGTCTGTGTCTCTTTCCTGTCCTCCAACCAGACGGTCGAGGCAGATGGTCTCCTGTCCTGAGCCTGGTTCTGCTGGAGGTTTCTTCCTGATTAGCAGGGAGTTTCTCCTCTCTGTTTGCTCAGGATGGGAGACTGTGATGAAGTGATTCAACACAATCTGTACTTTTTAATGTACAGTGTCCTGAGACAACGTATGTTGTGACTTGGTGCTACATAAATAAACTTGAACTTGAAATACATGACATTGTTTTTCTTAAAACTTCTGCCCCACGCTACCATGGGAGTAAAAAAACCATGTTAATATTTCTACCAAAATATCAACGGAGGGAGAAACTGAAAGAGGTGTTAACGTCTCCGAATGTTTTTAAAATTCAACAAATTTAACACAAATGGAAACCTCATAAATTAAGAACAAAAACAGCTAAATCTATTGCAGTACTGTACAAAGTAGGGATGTCCCCATCCAGATTTTTTGGCTCCAGATACAATCCGATTTCTTTAAKGATTAGTCTTTCCGATACAGATCCGATAGCTTTATTTATTTGCTTCTTTCCAAGTAGGGCTGCCACAAACRATTATTTTAATAATCGATTAATCACCGATTATTTATTCGATTAGTCGACTAATCAGATCATACGTTAATTGAATATAAAACATACAGCTTATCACGTCAGAATGCAGCTGCTATTATATAACCATGGTTAGATTTTAGCTATATGCTAACTAAAAATAATTGCTGTGGAAGGTAAGTTCTGATATCAGTGATTTTTTCACTCAGTTGAAAGC